TGAGTCACACCTCCACTTCTAACATTTTATTGGTTAAATGGAGAGAAGAGTCTCATAGACTTTTCTAACAGGCTGACTTTGAATTGCAAAATCTTCAGCTCTTGGCCTCCTAAGTAGCTAGGATTATAGACCTGAGCTACCTGCACCTGGCTTACTTTTTGACTTTAATATCTCCCTACAACCTAGAAGAAAAGTTCAAAGACCTCACAAGACCCTCAAGACTCCAGCCTTCCTGTCCTAGCTCTTCTAGAGTACCCCACTTCTATGCAGGATCATCTATGTGATCCTGTACCTAGTAGGGTCTGCACAGATTGTCCTTCCTGGGGCCTGTCACCCTCTTCCTTCTCTGCTTCTTACTCCCTAGCCTTGTAACACTTCCTTCTCCACAATAGAGGGAAGACATCGCCATTTTCAGGAAACCTTCATGAGCTGGGTTTGGCATCCCTGCCCTGTACTCTCATTACACAGCCTTCCCTTACTTAGCACTTACAAGGCAATATTGAAAATGACTCTTTATGGCTTTCTATCCACCTTAGATTATATATGCCTCAAGAGAGGCATTATATTTTTATTCATTCCTGTATCCCTGGTCCAAATCCAGCATAGATGCTCAACAGATGACTCCTGAACTAATCAATCATATAATAAATTAATGATTCCGTTTTGCGCCATAAATTTTCTGCCACTATTCTGGTAAATGTGAGTTTTACATAAAATGGATAAAATTAACTCATCTGAGATGGAGAAAAAAATACCTCACCCATGCCCCAGCCCTCATTTTATGCCCATGTTCTATCATCCTGTGGGTTGTAACCCATTATAGGCCATGAAATTAATCCAGAGGAATGACACTTGTATCTGTTCTTTCTTTGCTGGTTCCAATATTTTCTATTTCTCTACCCATTGCACCAAGGCAGGAAGGAGGATTAGTTAAAAATATGAGCTGAGCTGAGCTGAGCTGAAGGGAAGGGCACTAGTAGCTCACAACTATAATTCTAGCTACTCAGGAGGCTGAGATCTGTGGATCGTGGTTTGAAGCCAGCCTAGGCAAGAGAGTCCATGAGACTCTGATCTCCAGTTAACTACCAGAAAACTGATAGTAGAGCTATGGCCCAAAGTGGTAGATCACTAGCATTGAGTAAAAAAGCTCAGGGACAGAGCCCAGGCCCCTGACTTCCAGCACGCATATATATGCATACTGAGGAGATAGAGTTTCTGCTCTGATTTTCATTCATTGTGAGAGTCCAGGAAACCTACCAGATCCTCTAGGCTCTGGTCTCCTTACCTAGTTTCTTGAATTGGGTATTATAAAAATATAGATGAGGTAGGTCATGGAATATCTCAATGGTACAGCATTTGCCTAGCAAGTACAGGTCGCTAGGTTCAATCCTCAAAATCGCAAAAAATAATAACAATAGATCATGCATTAGTGGCTCATACCTAGTGGCTGGGACCTGGAATACTGAAATTCAAAGTCGGCCCAGGCCAAAAAGACCACAAGACTCCATCTCTAATGAACTTGCAAAATGGAGGTGTGGTTCAGGCGGTAGATCACTAGCTGTCAACTAGGAAGCCAAGTGAGCACAAGGTCCCTGAATTCAAGACTCCATAATGGTGTGCATATGCATGTGCGCACACACACACACATACACATATCACATATAATAATAGCAGCAATAATATTACAAATAGGCTAAACTTGAAGGCCCAGTTTTGCTCCAGCTTCCCAGCACTCTCCATTGGCATCTATGGTGTGGAGATGCTGTAAGCACCCAGCAGAAGCAGACAGCGCCCTCCATTACTCCCATATACCTCACCAGACACCCCTTCCCTCTTCCTCTGTTTCTAATAAGCTTCCCACCTTGCCTTTGTACTGCAATTCAGGTCTCAGCCTTAGGGGAAACATGTACTCAGTGAAGTATGAGTCCTGGAGCACAAGGTCATCAGTTCTGAAGGAAATAACTATATTTCTAAACTGCAAATATGACCAAGTCCTTCCCTTGCCTAAAATCTTTGTACAATCCCCATTATACTCAAGATAAAGATCTGGCTTCCTCATATGGCCAATAAGATCCTTCCTGACATCCGACCAGCCTGACCAGCCTTGCTTTTATGTCCCAGCTTCTTTCCCAAGCCAGTCAAGCCTCTTGATCCTGGGCCCTCCCCACATCACCTTACCTGCCCAGGACATTTCTACAGCCTAGCTCTCATCATCAGGTCTCCACCCAAGGTTCTGGGCAGCACCTTAACCTCTCCTTGCTCAGTGCTCCCCATCCCCCACCTACTCTCAGAGAGGCTACTTCATCGTAGTGCTGGCTGCAGCCTGGGCATAACTTGTGGGTCAATTCTCTTTCTTGCACCTTAAGGGCAGATGTTGTACCTTTTGTTCCATATCCTTAGCCTCTGGCCCAGCACCTCCCCTAGAGGAAGCTCTTAGTGCAAATTAGTGAGAGAGGAAGCAAGGAAGAAATGGACAGAAATTCTTTATCTGACACCTTCCCTAAATTTCTAAGGCCATTAAACAATTGAAAGCCTTTGAATTGCAGGTCAATTTTTAAAGATCAGCCTCCTGTGGGCACAGTCTTAGAAGGAAGCCTTACAATGAGGAAGGCAGGGTGAACGCGAGTAATCTGGATGCCAGGACCACCCCTTCCACTGGAAATTTCACCAACAAGAGGAAGTGTCCTGAAATGATCATTTTCCACACGAGTGTGAATTTACACAAACAAATCTTGGAAAACTACGAGGCCAATGTTTGAATGTCTTTTTAGGTGAACATATTTGGGGTGGGGCCAGGACAAGGCTGGGCTGCTTGTCTTCCAGCAGTGACTTCGGATTTTTGGCCATTGAGTTACAGACCCCATGCACAGAAGCCCCTGCCTGAACAAACCTATAGTGACAGAGGTAAAACCATTTGAATCAATCACTGAAACTAGCTACATCCAGGCATGGAGGATTGAGGTGACTCAGAATCAGGTTCACATCTGGACATTTCACACACACACACACACACACACACACACATACACACACACATACACACACACACATTTTCATTTGATTGGCATACTAACCCACTGACAAAGGAGTCTGGAATTTATAGATGAGAAAGCTAAGGACAAGAGAGGTTAAATAACTTGTTGAAGTTCACAGGGTAAACAACCAAGCCCTAATTTGTTCTGATTTCATATCTCTTGCTTTCTTCGCACAGAATTCCTATCCCTAAGTAGTTTCTTCTATGCTAGAATTTGAGTCTAAAAATTGTTCAGCAAGACAAAGGGTGTGGGGCCATGGAAAGATATACCATCATGTAGAGTCTAATAACCTGGGGGACTTGGGATTTATCTGTCCCCTAGCAAGCTGGTTCTGGGATCCCCTGTCCTCACCATCCTGTCCCTCTCAAGAGAAGTGGTAACTTTGATCAAATCCCCAAGGGCTTAGAGGATTGCCTCCTGCCCCAAAGATGGATACTTCCACCTCAAACATCAGCCTCCCTCCAACACCAGCTATATATCCAGATGTCTTTCAGCCCCAGAGACCAAAAGGAAAACTAAACAGCAGCAGAATTGAGAAACTCCATAGATATAGCAGGCACTTCCTGGATCTTTAGCAACCCTTCATTCCAGCACAAAGGCCCCATGGAGCCCAGGGACTAGCTAAGCCTGCCAGAGCTCACAGGAGGTAAGCAATGCCTGATACTGCTCCAAGGGATGCTGGGATAGGGATGCCTCTGCATCTTTGTTCCTCACTTTGGGCAGATGGTAACTAAGAGGCCAATTCAGAGCTGCTTCACTAGCATAGGGCTTAGGTCAAGGATAAAGTGCAGGGGACACAATGGGTAGCCACTGCAACTTCAGCATGAATTCATTTCCAGATCAGTGATGAAAGCAGTTTTAAAAGGACAAGATGATGATGATAATGATGATGATGATGATGATGATGATGATGATGAGACAAAAAGAAAACTTCTACAGCCTCAAACAGAAAAGTAAAAAAAAATGGCTTTGATGACATTTCCTAGCCACAGCTTGCCAGACAGCTCAGAAGTTAACTATGTAATATGTAGTTAACAGAATAGACAATCCAACAAGGTTTCCCTGGGAATCCATCCAGGATGGAGATCCCACCAGGATAGAGATCCAGTTTCCTCTTCCTAACTCCCTTTCCCCAGATGGGGGTTGGCAAACTGTGCTGGTTTAAAGTAGCAGGAGGAAATGTGCTAGGGAAGGACTTGCTAGTCTACTTGGTTTCTGACTCTGTTTTTTTTTATTATTATTATTCCTAGGCTAACAAATATACAAACAAGGCCCTGATCTTGGATTTAGGACCATAGGTTCCTAATTCCCTAGTTATGCTGAGGGATTAGCTGGTTTGAGTGAATATAAAAAATGAAACAGCTCCATCTACACCTGATTTTATAGGGCATGAACTAGGTAGCGCCCTCCCCCCCAGCTAGGCCTCTCTTTCAAGAGCTAGGGTGGCACTGTGAACCTGGAGAAAAACAAAGCACATCAGGCTTTCCTAATGCTTATAACAGAAACCATGCAATCTCCATCAAAGATGGGTTATACAAATCTGATAACCAGATCCCACCGAAAGATCCGTAGTGTCATTCGTCAGCTGTGCATGGAAATACATGCTGTAATCCTAGCACTTGGGAGGGTAAAGCAGGAGGATCTCAGGTTCAAGACCAACCAATGTACAGGATGGAGCCCATCTCAAAACAGCGGGAGGAAAGTGCCCCTCATCTTTCACTATTTGCAAGACAGACACCAGGAGAAAGGGGCATATACCCCTCATGGGGCCAATGCTCTTGGGGAACTGCTTTGTGGCATTTTCTTCATTGGTGCCTTAACTCTTAAAATACCTCAAATACTTGATTCAGAGACCTACACATGAAGCGTCCTCAGGATTCTCAGGCGACTCTCATCCTTAGCTTCCAAAAATATCCAACCCCACACCACACCCTAAGAATCTGACTCAGTAACCACGCACTTAAAGAAAACAGAAGTATAAATTTACTATTCACTTAGTGGTAGCAAGGTAACATTGTAGGCATAATGATTAAAAAAGGGAGGGGGGTGACAATCAACTTTATAATGCTGAGCTTCAAATCCAGACCTATAAAGGGAAGGAGGACTCAAGATGCCTTATGGACCAGGAGGGTAAACTAACATAAATAAAACAAACCAGGCCAGTGGGAGAAGAGTCTAACAGAAGCGACCTCTCCTTCTTAAATTTTGATTGTCTCTGAAAATGCTGGTGCAAACTGTCACAGCTCTGATTGTTCAAAAGAAGCCACAAATCTTGATTTTCATGTGAAACCTCTGATTCTTAAGAGGGCAGCTGAATTTTCTTGAAAACATTAGGTGAGTTAAATCAAGCCGACAGCCCGCCAGTTTTTCACGCTGCCGTACAGGTAGTGAGCAACATCTCCTTAACCATGGTATTAGGCTGCCACACTCCAGCCGTCATCTGCCACTGCAACAGAAGCACACACAGCCAGAGCTCCCTGCTTCCCTCTGCACACATGGCTGGACTCCTGAGCCCCAGAAAACAACTAACTCTACAGGAAGAAGAAGGCACAGCTGAGCCACCCAGCAGAGAAGCAGGATGGCCCTCATGGCCCCCTGCTGGCCTACAGGACTAAATGGCGGACTGCTCCTGCAGGAAACCTTCAGGGCTAGGGAGGCTTTTATCTGGCTCCGAAGCCAGGGCTGCCTCTCGAAGGACTTCTAGGTGCTCCTCGGCAGCAGACAGTGACTGATCAATCCAATCAAGACCCCCAGTCAGATGGCAGGCATTCCTGGTCACCAGCACCAGATGACTGACAGACAAGAGCAGGGCAGTGGTCCTAAAAGAGAGGGGGAGGGGGAAACAACATGAGATTTGGCTCCCTGGAAAATGAGGGGCTTTGCACAAAAATTAGAATGGATCCACTCTAGCCTAGCATTCTCCAAACTGGAGACCATCTCCTGAGAGGTTGGTGGATACGAGGTATAATGGATCCATACTCAAATAACTTTGGGGATAGCTACCTTAAACAAGGTTAATGGTGAAGACTGTCTTGAAGACTTTGAGGTTCCTGACAGAGCTCCCAAGAGGAAAACTAGAAGATGCAGCATTTCACAAACTTAAGAATGCAGAAGCCGGGCTGGGATGGTAGCTCAGTGGTAGAGTGCTTGCCTTGCATGCCTGAGGCCCAGGGTTCGATTCCTCAGCACCACATAAGCAAAAAGAAAAAAGCCAGAAGTGGCACTGTGGCTCAAGTGGTAGAGCGCTAGCCTTGAGCTGAAGAGCTGAGGGACAGCGCCCAGGCCCAGAGTTCAGGCCCCACAACCGGACCCAAAAACAAAACAAAAAAACAAGAATGCAGAAGCCACTTCCTGAAGCACATCCATTAACAGCTCTCAGTAGGGTACTTTGTGAAACAGCTCCAATGTGGCCAACTCTACAAGCAACTGTATCTCCAGCTACTTATTGCCCCTTAAAGACAGGATATATGTCCTCAACTTGAGTATTCTTTATTGATCACAAATCAGTAAGTCCAGTACTGGCTTATCAACTTTTAAATAAAAATATAATTGAAAATCAAATTGAGGAGGAGATTTTTCTGTACTTAAAGATTCATAAATATATATATATATATATATAAATACCTTTCATATAGTGAGTACACTATATGAAACTAGGGATATTACAGATAATTAACCCATAGCCAAAGCTGGGTAACAGCAGGAATGGGGCAGAGAAACCAAAACTACTGTCTATCCAGCAACCATTACACAGCATGTGCACAAGATAGTCATGAATCAGAGGAAGAAAGAACATGATTTTTAATAGGCAGAATTAGAAGGTCAGGAACAGAGGTGTCTAGGGGTACTTGGTAGATGAGCATTGCTGTGGCTGACATGTCACCTCCATTCTCTTTGCTCTGCTCACCACAGCCCTACACACTAGATGTGGGATCCAAAGATCTCAGAGGTGGTAGGAAAAGTAAAGAAGGGAGAGGGCATGAAAATTACTAGACCTAAAACTGGTCCTCTCATGCAAGGTTTCAGGCATGGCTCACTGGTAGGCTGACCTTTCACACGGAAGTGAATGTACCCAAAGCCTGGGCAGCCTTGGGATGCCAGCAAAGCAGTCCTCTCTAAAGAACCCAAGTAGCCAATCTCGCAGCTGTACAAGGACAGTGAACTGGCAGAGTGTAAAGAAGGTTGGGCACTCCACTTTCTCACCTTGCATCCAGAAGCTTGGGGTCCAGTGGGGGGTACATCGACTTCACGACATCGTCCACTCTGAGAGGAGGCAAAAGAGACTATTTTCAATACTGCACTTTTCCTCAGCTGCTTCTCTACCTTCCTCTTTGTCTGTGGCTAGTCCAGACTCCATCTTTCAGGGCTCATTCTCACACTGCTTCTGCATCCTCTGGGCAGAAGCTGGGCAGAAATATTTTGTTTTACAGAATATTTTGTGTAGGTTTTTATGGCTTTTGTTTTGTTTCGGTTCCAATGGTTTAAATGCCCAAGATCACACATAAGGGAATGATGCCTCAGATTACTGGTCAACTGAAAAGACAAATGTCAGACAATGCATAAAACTTGGAAATAAGTGAACAAAAGCTATGAAATATGGAGATCTAGAGAAAGAGTGGGACTGTAGGAATACTCATACTTAATAGTGGTCACCTCCTAAAATTGAGGAGCACTTCATTTTCTAGATAAGCTAGTATTTTAACTTTTACAAGCCTTTACCACTTTTGTATTCAGGGGACATGCAAATACAGTTACATAGAACAGTAAAAAAAAAAAAAGTTACCAGCTCAATTTGAGTTCAAACAGCAATTCTGCATTCCTTCCCCACATACTACAGACCATGATTAATTACTTCAAGGCAATTTCAGAAAAGAACAACAACCCATTTGGATTTGTGGGGTCCAGGACGGGCTCAAAATCTTTGTTGATAGTTCTGTTTCTAAAAGCATTTGAAGAAAATTCCTTCATTCTCACTCGGGACAGTGGAGATAGAAAGAAAGTACAGAGGCACAGTGGCCCTCAGCACCTGGTAGCCAGCCCTTTCTTTTCTCCAGTGCCCAGAGCACTGCTCTTCTTTAAACACCATCAACACAATGTATAGAGTGAATGAAGCAGGAGGTACAACAGGACAAGCACTGGGCAGGAGAAAGTGTGAGGGAAAAGAACAAAGCAAGATCCCTCACCAAATTACAGCAAGAAACACTAGAGACATGATTCAGGGATGCTCTGCAGGACAGGTCAGTGAGCACCAAGGTAGGATACCCTTGTGGCAGTGCTATACCCTCCCCTTGGCATACTGTAAACCCTACCTCCTTAAGAAACCTCAGTTAGCATCTTCTCCTGGCCCCTCCTGAAATACTGCCTCATCACCTTTGTTCCAGGGACTGTCTAGCCCAAGTGACTCCTGGAAGTGACACAAAGTATGGAAAAGGGTCCAGGAGATATGAGCAATGTGGAGTAGGTGACTTGTAAGCAGTACTATCTGTTGCTTGTCTGCCCAGAGACTGGTTGGGGGGGAGGGGAGAGTGGTTCTGAAGGTAAGAGGCCAACCACGGCTGATAAAGACCATGTAGCCACACCCACTTGGGGCAAAGCCAAAGAAAGCCAAGAGCTGTTCTGGGCTGAGGCCTTCCTGGAGTATTTTCCTCCCCCTTTCTCCACTCACTTGGCAGAGTTCAAGTACACCAAGTCACTGCCCTCAGAAGACCTCCTCACAGGTTGCCCACCCACAGGAAGCTCCTTGTTTTCATTTGGTTAATCTTGAGGCAGGGAAAGGGCAGGTTCCACGTCATTCTCCACAGGGCCCTGGAACTCACAATGAGCCATTCCAGCCAGAGAAGCCAGGTGACTGACTGATAAAGAAACCTTCTGGACTTGGCTCCTTTCTGGGCTGGGGTATATCTACATACCAGCCACCAGATGGAAGCACAAACTTGATACAGCACTTTGCTCTAAGAAAAGGGCTTTATCTTTCTTGGCAAAATCCAGCCTGTGAGGGCGTGTAGTTGTTGACTACAATCCTGCCGCATGCCTCCCCCATAGGATTTTGCAGACAGATGCAAGTTGTGAGATCTGAATGCTATATGGCTTCACCTCCCACCTAGGCCTGGCAGCTGCCCACTGGACAAAAGACAGTGAGGAACACTGTGGTAAGGAAAGGCAGGTATCCTCCCAAGTGGCAAAGTGGTCCCAAGTCCAGATATAGGTTGTCCTGGAGGTGAATGGAGATGGCTGGGGGGCGGAGGTTGGGGGAGACTCTCCTGGGGAAATGTGCCTGCTGGCTACAGCATCTGGGTGGATGGACAACCAGGGAAAAGAGGCAGCCCAGCTGGCACATGGCAGAGTGGGAGCAGCTAACCAGGAGCTACACAAAAACAGAACTCCTGGAAACCTATCAGATTGGCACTTGCTGGAGGTGGGGATGGTGGGACAACCACCTGAACTTTGGAATCTATATCCTCTTAGCTGCTCTGGGAAAATCAGAGACACAGATAATAGAGGTTGTCCACTTCCAGTTTCTCAGTAGAGCCTGGCCCTGCTGGCCACCTCAGCCTCCTCCCTCATAGAGCGTAGGCACCTCAAGATGGTTGACCACTCACCTGGGGCTGATCCGCTTTGCCACCACAATGATGTCGCTGACACTTGCTGAGGTCTTCATCTTAGCCCCTGAGCCCATCGTCATGGCAACGAGTTTTTCTGTCAGAGTGTGACAAATCTACCACAGCACAAGGGAGAGAGGTGATGAGGGTTGACCTGACTATAGAGACAAATAGATGCCACTCCAGATGTCTCCCAAGAGCTAGCCCCTACCCGACACAGAGATGAAAGGAAGTAGGGTGGGAAGAGGCAAAAACCAAGAGCATGGAGGGCTGGGGAGAAAAGACACAGGACCTCAGCTGGAGGGTAGAGGTTTAGTCCACAGGAGCCTAAGCTGAATAATCCGTCTAAGAAAAGTCATGTGCTCTAATTCTATCGACTAACTTGGGGGGAAAACCTTTCTAGTCCTCTACCTCGTGGTCAATTCTTCCTAAAGGCTGGGAAGTGGAGCACGTACCGATGCAGAGCTGGACAAAGGGCACTTGTTCCCTTTCAGCACATTCTCCAAAAATGGCTTGTATTTCCACAACTTTTGAGGGTGATGTATTATTAGTACGTTTATCAAGTTGATGGTGGAAGGACGTGGGGATGGGCAAGTCCATGACATCACCCACTCTTTTCATCAGCCACCCACAATGCTGTCTACCGCCCCCACCCCCAGAGCTTGTTTTCCCCCTCTTTTGCCTCCCCCATTTAGAACAGAATATTCCTCGATCCCCGCAAAGATGTTCCATTGCCTGCTTGTCCTGACACTAGAAAATAGCAGAAAGCTAAAGAGCCTGCCAGGTAGGAAGCCCAGCACAGGGATTCAAGGGACAGGTGACTGAGCAAGAGCCTTGAGATGCCAAGAGAAAGGACCTAAACTTTGATCTCAAGTTGCCAGAAAGGACCACTGATTCTCATCCAATAAGCCCCCCTCCGGCTGATTCATCTCCCACGACAGGTGCCAGTTATCTTCCCTCTCTCACAGGTGAAGCCAGAGAACCAAGCTCAGGCCTAGGACACATTCTAGTTGGGAGAAGGGAAATATAATACGGCTTAATTGCTGCAGTTAGTATGCCTAGCATACTGTATCTATCACCATATCTCTATCTAACAGCTGTATTCATATATCTAAGGAGCTTCCTGGAATTAAATAATAAGCCTATACTCGGCAACAATTTCCTCCTAGGCTTTGTTTTGCCCCATGAGAGACAGCGGAAGAGGAGGCAGGATAAAGGACTTTTTAATATCTTTTAGTGAATGATCCTGGAGAAAAGACAAGTTGTCTCTTTTGAAATCTTGAATAATTACTAAACAAAGAAAGAGACAAAAAGAAGTGGAAACACTTCTATTTGCATTTTGCCAAATATTTGATTAGTATTATTCTAGTGGGGAGGATAACATCAGGCAAGAACTGGAAAATAAATGAACGGAAACACAAAGACAAAAGTCAGCCTCCCAACTTAAAAAATCTGATTGTCCTATTTGGCTGACTACTGTCACAGCCAATGGCAGCTAGGGAAAACTTTCTAATAATTGAAGTTCCAAATACTAAACTCAACTCACTGCTCAGGGCTGAGTTCTATATTACTGAAAAAATAAAAACAAAAAATGACTAAGGCAAGAAACCCTGTCTGCCCTTGGCAGGGTTTTAGCTACCTAGCTTCAGGCACACAGCTTTATCCTCAGTGGGTGAAAACTGTGGCTGGTGGTCCCTACCCTATCCGCCCTGCAGGTTCCTGTGTTAAGAGTTTGGGACTGAGAATCCTAAAGTAAAGCAAACCAACCAAGCAAGAATAGATGCAATGGCTTAAGGCAAATGTCAGGCTTAAGGCAAGGCCTCTTGGTGAGGGCACATGCACTTTCTGAGATCCCTTTCAATTCCATCCACATCTGGGATGCATTGATGGCCTTTGATCTCTCAGGGAAATCCCACCATTACCTTCAAGATAGCGATGCAGTGCGACATGAGACCCCTGGGAAAGCAAGAAGAGGACATCAGTGCTACTCTAGTTGAAGCCACTTCCCCTCAGCTCCCACTCCTGCCCCTCCTCTAGTGCAACACCTGAGGGCAGAAATGCCTAAGGGTTAAAACACACAAACCCATGAGCCCTGTCTTCCTCCTGGCCCCAGACTAGCCCTTCAGTTAACTCTGTCAAGTCATGTGCTTTGTAACTTATCTCTCTGATAGACTGTTCCCTCTGCCCAATGTTTTCTTCCCCTTAGGTTCATCCTGATGAATTCCTTCAAATTCAGATCAAAAGTTAATCCTTGGTGACATCCTTCAGGAAGACCACCTCAGCCTCCCTACCCCAGGCAAACTTCAAACTGCCCCCTCATGTGCCACTACACTGTGCAGAGATCACCTATAGTTTCTATGACATTGTATAAGGTACAATTCTATCTTCCCATCATTTTAGTATCTGCCCAGCCTGGCCCTGCTTGCAATGCCCCATAAATGTGTGCCAAGGGAGAGAAGTGGGAGACGCATCTCACATCACAGAAGCTCCTGTTGGACAGACAGCTCTCAGAGGGTTACTGAAAACAGGAGCTTCACTCCTGGAGCCTGACTCAAATTCGTGGGCACCCCAAGAACAAGATCTGGAAGAGGGGTAGTAAGGAAAAATGCCATCAGGTCCTATTCTGATTTCTACAAACACTGAGGGCAGAGGAGATAAATCAGTACCAGCATGTCACTGGACACCTAGAGGAGTGCTCTGGCAAAAGAAGCCAGAAGCCCCTTTGCCATACCCAGGAGGCTATAGATAAAGGAAAAAGTCCCTGGGCCTTACGAAGCATCCTCGATCCAGTCTTCATTCTCCAAAATGGCCTCGATGTGAGGATTGGTGATAACAACATCATCCAGTTCTAACTCAGAGGGCTCAGACTGGGTCTCCATGGCACCGATGAGGTCCACAATGGGCCTGGAAGGAAAGGATCCTGTTATGGTTTTATGATGGGTGACTGCAGCTGGCCCTCTCCTGGTTGCAGCCTACTGCTACAATTTGAATGTTTGGTCCCAAGATAATACTATTGAGAAGTGGTGGACCATTAATAAGGAGGTCCTATGCCAGGTGCTGGTGGCTCACACCTGTAATCCTAGCTACTCAGGGAGATCTGAGGAACGTGGTTCAAAGCCAAACTAGGCAAAAAAGCCCATGAGACTCTTATCTCCAATTAATCGCCTGAAAACCAGAAGTGGCACTGTGGCTCAAAGTAGTTGGACACTAGCCTTGAGCAAAAAGAGGTCAGGGATAGCATCTAGACCCTGAGTTCAAGCCCCATGACTGACAAAAATACAGAAAAGAAAAAAAAAAAGATTATCTAGTGGAGGGTCCTCATGTCATTGGGGAAGAGCCTTCATAGGGAATTATGGGATGCTGGTCCTTCATTTTTCTCTTCCGCTTCCCATTCATGAAGCAACTAGTTTGCTACTCCATACACTGCCCACAACAGCCATGTAGAATCTCTACTGGTTGTCTAAAATGAGGTCTACCTCATTAAATACTAGAAACTCTAGACAACGAGCCTGTTCTCCTTATAGGTTAATTTTCTCAGGTACTGTGTACAGTGATGGAAGGCAGGTGGCCATACCTACATGCCTCAAAAGGATGAAAGGAGTGGATAAGTTAGGGCAGTGATCACCTGTGCTGGGTTCAAATCTAACCCAGGTGGGTCAGCAGTTGAGGGCAGAGCACACAGCTTTATGGTGTGTCAAGAAGGCAGACCAAAGGCACCAAAAGCCAAGTGAAGTAGAATGAGATGTGCTACTAGACAAAGAGTAGAGCTATAATTTTCCAGTCACACAGGCAAGACAAAACAATCTCCTTTGATCATTTATTTTCCCTTCAAGTCTCCACTGTATGAAGAGATTGAAGTTCCTATTGCCCACACCACCTATCAGCATCCCTTACCTGGTCACAGACTCACCTCCCACTCCCTGATCTCTATCCTAGAGAATGAGGTGAGCGAAAACCACCTTCTTTACAGCAGAGTTCTTTAAAACTCAAAATATGCTAGGCTTGGTGGCACACATCTGTAATCCCAGTACTTTGGAGACTGGGTCGAGAGCATTGAGGTTCAGGGCCAGCCTGGACTACATGAGGAGTTCTAGATCAACTGGATTACATATCTAACTCAGAGAGACAAGGGGGTTAGGGAAAGAAGCACTCTCACACTCTCTGTAATAGTAATGCAAGCTGGATCATGTATCTGGGCACTTACTAATTATTAACCACTAGAGAAATGTTGACAGAATTGAGATAGAGAGGTAAAAGAAACTACCAAGTAGTTGTCACAGTCCCTTAAGGATCTGTTTATCTAAAACTCCTAAACTAAAAACAGGATTTTGCTTACAAAATCTAAGACATATCATGAAGAAATCTTCTGTAAGAGACAATCCTGGCTGGCATCTCCTGATGCACAGCGACTGATGCTTAGATGTGTGATTGCATGTGTGTATGTGACTTCACTTCCCAGGACTTTGGTTAGAAAGGGATTTGGCTTGTCCCCCTGCTAAGTGAGGTGGCCAGCTGTGCACAGATAGTCATACCTTCATGACAGATGAATATGCTTGGTAACTTTCTCAATGGCCCAGAAAACAGGGACTATCGCTGCACCCACTGTTGGGGGAGCTTAAGGAACATGTTTAAGCTCTGAGGTCTTGTTTCTATTCCTCTCATTTTCTCTGGTCAGTGCCTATATCTCCACTTCATCATCTACAGCCCACTTACTTGGAATCATAGCGCTGCAGCAGATCTCGGGGTTGACAATAGCGCTGCCTGCAAACCACCACCAAGGCTGCAAACGAGGCCAGGAAGACGGTGGCCAGCACACCTATGGCGACAATCACCACAGTCTCCATGCTTCCAGTGGCTCCTGACTCAGCCCCACTCACATCCTCCACGCAGGCCAGAGCCTGAGAGAACACAGGTCAGGACAGACCTAGTAAAGATGCCATATCAAGGGATGGAGAAAGTTAGGTCTCACCTGCCAGAAATAGGAAATGGGATGAGAAATGGGTTCTAGGTTCCTCCTAAGATACCTACAGAATGACCTGTCAAGGGCCTAAAGAGAACCTAGGTGCATTTTATGCCATAACCGTGTTTGCCTTTTCCTTTATTAAAAGAGTTTGCTTCCCAGTTGGACCAGGTTAGTTTCTAAACCTGGGACAAAAGAAAACTTTTTATTAGCATTGTTTTCACATCTACAAAAAAAAAGTGCATAAAAGAACACTCACTGAAGGTGCAGGCAGATTGTATTAACCAGGATCTCCTGTGTGCCAGACACTCTGTGTGTTAATTCTTGCAGCACCAACCTTCTGAAAAAGGTGTTCGTTTCTCTATTTCACAAGAAGGACACTGAGGTTCGGGAAGGTTAAGGAAATTGTTCACATTTATACAGTCAAGAAGCAGGAGGTGACTACTTCACACTAAGTTGGCCATTCATCTTCCTATTCCTCTATAAGAGGTTCTGATCATTATTTTCAGAGTTGGAAAGCTAACCAATTCTGTTATTCATTGTCTATCACCATTTTCACTTTGAAGACATTTTCCCCTCTGTAGTGAAGTAAGGCCTGATGACACAATTACACACTCTAAGAATTATGTCATTAGGCCATTTTGTCACTGTCAAACACCATGAGTGAACTTACACAAACTAGGACAGCTATGATGTCACCAGAAGATGTAATCTTAGGGGACCATCCTTGCATAGGTCATCCGTCATTTCCTGAAGTGCTTTCATGCAGGACATGACCATATTTTAAATTCAGAGGCCAGAAGAACAAGGACATCTCAAAGAAGCACCCATTCATGAGGCTATATATTTGCAAACTTCCTACCTGCATCCCTTTCAGAACATTTTCCTACCCTCTCTGGTCTTTTTCCAATGGAAAAAAAAAATGGATGCTCTGACTTAAATCTCTATGACTCCAGGGTGGTGCTTCTCCTTTTTTTTGCACTTAAGTCTACATTTTCTGTCTTAGAGGATCCAAATGTTCTTGACATTCAATAAATATATATGGATCATCTATAATATTGGACTCAATTCTGCAGATTGGAGATTAGATAGATAGATAGATAGATAGATAGAGCTGAAAAACTGCATCTGTATACTTTCGGGGGGGGGGGAGTGATGCTTCAGCTGGGTTTTGAAGAATGACTGAGAAATTGGCAGGTAGAGAAGGTATGGACTTGCCAGGAAAGCCGCCTTGGAGGTCTCCAGGGCTGCTCCCTCAGAGATCTCTGGTTCCTTTCTGTAGCTCTAACGGTTTGAGGGATGGGAGTGAGAAATGGGGAGGGGTAAGTCTGCCTCAGTTTCTCCAGGGGTGTGGTTCTTCTTCCTGTCCCTCCTACTCCACTCAAATGTTCTTTCCTCCTCCCTTCATCTCTCCATCTCCAGTCTTCCCTCCTCAGCATTTCTTTCCCTCTCCCCCAGCCCCCAGGCCTCCAAGAACACCCCCACAGGCTTGCTTTCCTTTCTTCCCGTGTGTTCTACGTGTCTGTAAGCTTTCTCGAACTTTCCCTCGTCCCTCCTGGTTGGTCTGTCTGCGTGGACGTTTCTTTGTGCGCCTCTCTTTCTCTTTGTGTTTCGTGGTGAGTTTTCCTGTTCCCGTTCTCTCCCATCCCCTCCAAGTAAACCCACGAGGGTGGCAAGCTGCATGGAGAGAGGGGAGCCTTCCCCCCTCCCCGGGCCCCCACCCCGGGCCCCAGGAAGAGCAGAGAGAGGGGCCGGCCCGGGAAGGAGCACGCGCGCGCCCCAACTTTCGTTCCCAACTTGTAGCTTGCCAAGACCCACGGGGCGAAACAAAGCATTGGGGAGCCGATCCCCGCGGCCGCACCCCGAACCCCAATCCGCGTCTCCCCACCATCCCCCAGCACCAGGCTCGGGGAGACCCCGCGCACCCCCCCCCTCCCCGCCTCCTCCCTGCCCCGGCCCCAGCCTCGCCGGCCTCACCCACCTCCGGTGCGGCTCCCCGCGGCCCCGCCGAAGGCGAAGTCCAGCCCGGGGCATGTCGGGAAGAACGGGGCGGTCGGAGGACCCAGCTCCAGCCCTCCCAGCGCGGCCCGCCCCCCGCATCCAAATCCCCCGCTGCCAGGCGCCGCCGTCCCCGCCAGCCCACCCTCCCTCCCCCGCGGCCGGGGAGCTGAGGCCCCGTCACCAGCCACCCGAGAGCCATCCTCATGTCCCACGTGACGGCCAGGCCAAGGGGGTGGGCAGGTAGAGGGAGGGTCCCTGACACCCCCTCCCCTCCCCTTCTGCCTCTGCAGGCTATGGGGGGGGCACCCACAATTCCCACAGATCCTGGTCATGGGGCTGGAGGGAGGTCTGCTCTCTGCTGCAGACAAGAGATGCTTGCTAAAGCATGGTCAACTTGCTTCACTTCTAAGCCTTGGTTCTTTCTTCTGTGAAATGGGGGCTACTGCTTGGAAGCATCCTCTGAGTTGAATGACAAGGTTTCTTGTCTTGGCTGAGGATTTTCCAGCCAGGAAAATCCACTTAGGGTGTCAGTCCTCCACCCATCCACCTCCAGGCCCACACTACTCCATTTCAGTGCAGAGGGAGACGCGGGTCATTCGTGGGGACATAGCCCCCATGCTGCAACCATTGCCTGCCCAAAGATGTTCATACCAGGTGGTACAGGCTGCCCTTTAAAGCAGGACTATTTGGGGTCCCAGCCAGAGTCCAAGAAGCAAGGCCTAGAAGAGGACATCGGCCCCAGGGGAGCTGGGGGAGGGTGTCACCTGGCTTTTCTGAGGGAATGGATGAAATATGGGCAGGGGTCCAGACCCCAGGCCTAGAGTGAGTACCAAAACAAGTACCACCCCAGCAAACAATCAAGTGATGCCAACTAGGAGCCCCCAGGCATCACCCAGCCTACCCAGGTGTTTCTGTTTATTTGTTCATTTGCTTTGGCTCATGATTTTTAAAATTTAATTGCTATCAACTTTTTAAATCAAGAGTTTCAAGGTATGGACCATAGTTCTATAATAGACTACTTGTAGAACATGCACGATGCCCTGGGTTGCATTCCTAACACAGGAAGAACAAAAAGGACCTTTCCTTAAAATTCTAGATTTCTCCTCTAGAGGAAAAGGCTGAGGGGTGATTTAGTCACCGTTTGAAGTGCTTTCACCAAGAAACTACTGATCATTAACATCTGTGTAGCTTACAGCAAAGGAACAAACATCGGAAAGGACGATGAGGGCAGTGTCTCCATTGCTTGGAGAGTCTCAGAGATGAACTGTTTCTATTTGTCTTGGTGGTTAGACATTTGAGGGCCTCAAGGTACCAAGCAAAACCACATGATCTTTTGTAATGTCTTCTGGGTCTGGGATCCTATGATTATACAAGACATGTAAAATAAAGCTTTGCAATGTTTACAACACAAGTGGGAAAGGTATGTAACACCAAAACTCAAACTTTATAAATAAATGGATACTAAATAGCTTGGCTGCCGCCTGGACTGACAATATTCATGCCGCAGTGAACCTCACACTACCCAGCTGCCAGGAGGGCAGAGTTGTACTAAGGTTGTGCCATGGCCTTCTCCTAGCCAGCTGTCTCCATTGTTCTATCAGCTCTTGCCATCCCAGTGCCCCTGATCAGAGGAGATCTTGTGTGGAACTCACTGTTCTAATTGAAAGCAACAGAAACTCATTGTCCCATGTGAAAAGGGCATAGGGCACCCACAGAATCAACGGGAGACCAAAGACCCTAAGAGTAAGAAGTGGGAAGGCTCTAAGGGCCAAGTGTCAAGGCCCTAAGAGGATTTTGATCCTCCATCCAAGATTCCAAGTGCTGGGTAGGACCTAATCCTAATGGGAGAGGAGACACTAAGTGTAGTTTGCCTTGCATATAGATGCAAGCAAGGGCATTGTCTCCCAACAGATAAGATGGATAGTGGCTAGACTCCCCCAAATGCAAATACCCCTACACATTACATTTCCTCACCAAGTCTGGATATCGAACCATATGGCAAGGCCCCCAAATCCAAAGCTAAACCTGATGATTAGAGAGAGTAGCAGCCAGAAGGTCAGAAAGGACAGTAACTATTCCTGGGAGGAGAGGGTCTTGGTTCCTTGCTAACGGATACAAGCTCAAGCTTCTCCTATACAAGCCATAAACACTTACTAGGCACCGACTATATGTGTACCAGAGATTGTTACACACCTGATACATCTCACATCTTTTTATTATGTGAACAACTCTGGGGATTTGGTATGAGAATGTTTGTCAGGAAGGAAATAGCCTTAGAAGAATAAGATTACTTGCCCTGGCTCTATCAGCTATATGGGGTAGGGCAGGGAATGGAATGCAACGTTCCCTGGCATCAGATCCCAGATCACCAAACCAGGAAGTTAATAGTTTTTCCAGTTACCTGGCTGTGGGAAGAGAGTCATATGTCGTGGACCCAGCTGCCACTCTATGCCAACTTCTTGCACACTTTATCTTCCAAAATGCACTTACCCTGGTCCTAGATATGATCTGGGCACTGTACTTTAACATCATTTTGCTTTGGTTTTGCCCTGTGTAGAAGTTGCACTCCTGTCTCTCTGTGATATGTAGTTTCTGGCTGCTTCTTTCCACACTATCTAGCTGTGTTATATACTTGTAATGGGTAAGCAGTAACAGTGTTATTTGGCTGGCTGGGTACCAAGCATTGAAGATGTCCCTTGCCAATGCATTCACAACAGCTAAGCATCCCCTGTGCACATATATATTATATATTATGTATTTTGTTTTATATTATATATATGTATATGTTTTGTGCACATCCTATGGCTTGAACTCAGGGTTTTTCTTCCTAAGGCTAATGCTCTACCACTTGAGCCACAGTTGCAATTCCAGTTTTTCGATAGTTCATGGAGATAAGAGTCTCACAGATTTTCCTGTGCTGGCTGGCTTCAAACCATGATCCTCAGATCTCAGTTTCAGATGTGAGCCACTAAAAATATAGCACCCAGCTATATGTTTAATATCTTTTTTTAAAAAAAAAAGTGTTCATCATGTAGGACATGGCGGGGGAAATGGGACTAACATGTAAAGCTCACTCTTCTCTGTGTCTGAAATCCTTACCCCTTTATTCTTGTGGCTCCCTCCCTCTGTTCAGCTGTCTGCTCAGGCACTTTCTCAGAGAAGTCCTCCTGTAGCATCTCCCATCATTTGTGCCCCTGGAGCCTGGATGTTGATTTTGAACGGCATCTAACTCTGCACTGTTTCTGTTCATTGTCTCTCCCCTTTCAGAATCTAAGGTCCATGAGAGCAAGGACTTTAGTTTCTTCTTGTCTGCTGGCCTCTAGTATCTTGAAGCAGGTGCTAAGTAAACACTTGTGCAAGGACGAAAATAAAGCTGACCCAGCCACATTAATATCATTCTACAATAGGGAATTCAAACTCTAGACCAATGGGGCATGTTGGGCTGTGGCAGCCCATGGGAGGCAGGAGGGCTAAGCACCCAGAAAACTCTCAGAAAGGGTAAAGCTAGTATTGGAAAGAGCAGAAATTTCACCTACACTAAACTATCACAATTCTAAATCTCCAATTTGCCTCTGAGTTCATGTTTGTTTTCAGTGTTCTGTTCTTTTATAGACTGGTGGATGGCTTTCCAAGGAGCCACACCAGCCAGGGAGGTGTTTGTATACACAGATCAAGCCTTCTCTGAGCTGTGGGAGTGGAAGCCAGCAAACACAACTGTAGGCTGGCTGCAGTAGGACCAGGAAGGGGTGGGGCTAGGAGGAGGGTGGCAGGAAAAGGCAAGAGGATTGAGAGCTAGCAGGGCAGGCCAGAGCCTGGATCCCCACTGAATCCAGGTCAAGTTTACATTTCCTCTCTTTTAAGGCAGTTGTATCAAAGGACAAAGAGACCCCCTCCAGGGATTTCCCCAGGGTCATTAGGACATGTGTAACAGGCAATTGAGGGTGCCAGGGGGTGAGAGGGAACACTTTCTCTCAACAAAGGCACTTAAAATCCTCAAAGGACTTTTCCTGGAGCGCTCTACAGCCTTCTAACCCATTCTACTTTGGTTTCTTGTTTGTTTGATGCTGATACCGGGCTTGCACTCAGAGCCTCATGCCCTTGCTTGGCTTTTTCTCTGGCTGTTGCTCTACCACTTGAGCTACACTTCCACTTCTGTCTTTTTTCCTGGTTAATTGGAAATAAGAGTTTCTCTGATTTTACTGCCTGTTCTGGCGTTGAACCTCATGAATAGCTAGGGTTACAGCTGTGAGCCACTCATACTGGAGCCCATTCTAGTATTTTAACAACAGCTTCCTTAGAGCAAATGGAAGTCTCTCTTGCTTTGAATATTTAGGGAGTGGTGAGTAGGTGTGAATACGGAGAAATAAGATCCCATGTTTTACTTAATGCACATGAAGTTGCTTTAATAATGGACTAAGTGCTATCAATAAAATCATTCACTTCTCTGGCTTTAAATCTGACTTCAGTATCCCCTCTTCCGTGTGTCAGTATGGTCATTTATACATAGCCATTTTTGGCCCTTTATATAGGTAGCAGGTCCTCTGCTTTGTACTTCACATAAATTACATGGTTATTACAATAATCTCCTAAAATAGACATCATTATCTGACTTCACACATGAGGAAATTAGGACTCAAATGTGTTATACACATTTCTATAGCTAGTATGGGTATGAACTAGAACTGTCACCCTAGCACCTAGTCCAGTGCTTTGCCCGTACTGTATGCCCCCGAATACATTATTTTGGATGAGCAGATAGCATTCACCAAGTGCCTAGTTCTTTATTCCTAATACTTCAGAGGGTACTTCATTTAATTGTCCCCTTCCACTGGGTATCTGGGCCGGGGTGGGGGTACGGGGAGTGGTATCAGGAACTAACACAAAGGGCCCTGGCTAGTAATTAGCAGAGCTGGATATAAAACTGGGTCTGATTGACTCCAGCTCTGTGTACTTCTCCCTGAGCCCCTCCCTCTGTGTTCTCCCAGTCTTTGAGATGACATCTCCTGTCACCTTGTCTTTCAGATGGCA